GTGCGCAGTGAAATAGCTCACGTTTTAATACACGCAAACCTTTGATAGATCCAGCCCTTAGTGTATTACCAACAGTAACCTTGGAAACGGTGGCCCCAGCTCTTTGCAGGTCATTGACCAGCTCCTCCTATGTAGTTCTGGGCTGATATTTCACCTTTCTTCAGGTCATAAAGACCCCAAAAGGAGATAACTTGCATGCAGCCCCAGTCCAAGGGAGATTGACAGGCATCTTCTATTTTCTAATGATTGTTCCAACAGTGAATCTTTTTCAACAAGCTGCTATGCAATTTCTCCGTAGCCCATTCCGGACTTGTGGAGGTGTACAATACAATGAGAATTTCAGACCCTTTCATGATTTCTAAATGGGAGAAATTGCAAAATAACAGGGTGTTCAAATACTTATTTTTCTGTATATTTTAATTTAAGTTTCCCCTTGAAAAAAAGAGTTAAAATAAATCCCAAAAAGGCTGAATATTACTGACATTAATGTTAAAGATGTGAGTTTGTGAGGCTTCGACCCTCAAAATGATTTATTTTAATATTGTGAAGTGTGCATGGTGAGTTAAAAGAAGTGTGGGGTTTGTGTGAGGTCCACCTGGAGGTTCCTAACTTTATCTGACACGTTTTCCTGGGACATGCTGTGATCGAGGGTGAGTTCCTCCAATGGCTCTTCGGGGGTAAAGATGCTGTCGCAGGACAGAGCTCGAGATCCGATGGGATTTAGGTCCCTGCAGAAGATTGAGAGCTTCCTCAGGGTTCAGGGCGACATTTACTTCAAATGGTTTTACACATAGAATGAGAACAGCTCTTCTACTATCTGCTATCATCACAGTAAAGGTAATTTCACTTTAGTGTGTGGTGCAAAGTCTAACTTCATTTTAATTATTTTCAAATGTTATCAGAAACAAAATTGTTTACATTATTTGTATAAAAGTAATGACTGAATCATTCTCTGAAATAAAGCAATCACTGCTCTTACCTCAGATTTTTATTAGACTCCTCATTGTCAGACACGACTCCGCTGCACACTTCTCCAATTGAATAACTTGCTTTTAGCTCTGTTCCATCAAAGCTCCTTTTAACTTCCCGTTTCTTCTTCTTCTTCCCAAACAGCCGTCTGAAGGGCTGGAATTTGCCCGGTCGTTTTTGCTCTGTCGTGTGGGGGAAAAGAAACTAGGCGATAACCACAGCTTAGTGCAATCACGTCAATCTTTTTTTTATCTCACATTTTGCCAAGATAACAAGCAAGATGATGGCTGAGGGCGTGTTTTTAAAGTACAACTCTGAACAGATAATGAAATGCAAGTGACATGGCTGATATAAAATGAACCAAAATAGATAAGACGATAAGCGAAATGAAGAATAAAACCTTGGCTTCCAGTGTTAGAAAATAATGAAGATAAAGGTGAAGCCTTGAAAGGGAGGAAAGAAACATGACTGAGCAAATTTCAGAGAAAAATCCAGCATTAGAAAACACCAAATCCCAATGAGACAGCCCAGAGATTCAGGCATTGTGCCATAGGTGTGACTAATGTCACATTTGACCTGCATTTAAGTGTTTCCCTAATGTTCTTTTCAGATCAAAGTTAATCACTCTTCTAATAATTAATCTCTTCAACTATTTCAGATTAGAACAAGAACCAATGTGCTGCCAAACCTGAATACACGTCAGCCTGACATATCGAATGAAGGAAAGAAGCTGTAATAAAACATTTAATGGTGGTTTATGAGGAAGTCTTGAACCAAATAAAGAAATTAACTTTGGACTCTTAGCTAAAGTTACATACTCTGGTACAGGAAGTTTTTTTTTTTTTTTTTTTTACACGTCAAGGCAAAATGAATAAACAAAAATAATTATACCTTTAGCTGGAGGAAATGTTTCTTTTTTTATGCAAAAAAAAAAAAAAATTCTGAATGGAAACAAAAATTTCTTAATTTTTTTCCCCCCATCTTTTATGTATTTGCTTTCATGGGGGCACCCAGTAATGTAAGTGGGGGAGGTACAGAGCTGGATGTTACTCTACACCCCTGCTCAGACAGGCGTTCGTTCTCAGGCTCTGTGGGTATCTCTTTCAGAGCTAAAAGTAGCAACTGGTGTGGGATATCACTGCAAACACTGCTCACTAAACCAGGAGCATGATGGGAAGTGATACAGTAAACTAATTTCTCCACTTAGGTCTTTTGACCCCAAACTTTATCTTTCTGTGCATATGCACCTACGATGACAGTTTTAGACCCCTCCATGATTTCTAAGTGGAAGAACTTACAAAGGTGTTCAGATACCTTTTTTTCTCACTGTATATATTTGGTATAAAACAGCTTCGGCAGCTAGTTAAGACACTTAAGAAGGTTTAATCAAATCCTTGAAGTCAAGCAGTTAAAAAAAAACTAAAAGCAGGTATTGTGTATTTTTAACACACACACACACACACACACACACACACACA